TTCTTCCAGACAGCGAACACTCTGCATCAGAGCCAGGTGCGCTGCAGAGTGGTTAGACACCTGTGTGCTCTTTAGAGTGGCCCCCAGATTTCTGAGCCCACCTGGCCCCTGCAAAGCTGTGATAATATCATTGTCTCTGTTCCAAGCTGCATTCCATGTCTGGGACAGCTCAGCATCTGCTCTCATGGTCCCGACACATGCCCAGACCTCCTCTCCAGCGCCTTGCTCCCTAGCAGAGCCCACAGAGGCCGGGCTGCTTCGCTCTGGTTTTGGTCATCAGCTGAAATAAATCAAGGTTTTCATAAAGCATTTTGAATGATGTGTGCCCTCATTATTCTTTGTTGTTGTAAAACACAAAGTGTTATAAATCCTTTAGCCCATCGCTGGATGTCAAAGAATTCATCTACAGTTACCCACGAACAGGCTGTCCGCACTGCACACGGAAGACACTTGCCTGCTTAATCTTTCAGCAGTAAATGAATCTGTAAGAATTTTAAGAATTCTGATAGATTCGTGTTAGACTTTAATATGCCAAGTGTTTGTACAGAAAGATATCTAAGAATCACAAGCGCATATCTTTGATCAAAATCATCATCAAAACAGCTGTGAGCTTTGTGTATACACTGAGCCCACTTTTCCCCATGCAAGGAGCAATTGGTTGGCTAAGCTCTAAGGCACTGGACCCGGACTCCATGGCAGGCAGAGGGTTCTGCTGGGAGAGAGGGCGCTTGGCGGGAAGGCTGCAGAGGGAAGTCTGGGGCGATGGGCCCCTGGAAGCTGGTGATCTGAGCACTAGCACTGCCGCAGCGAAAACTGAGAGGTTTGAGCAGTGTGAAGAGGATTTGGCCACAGAAACAAGGGGACAGGAGCAGCTCTGGGCCAAGGCTGTGCGCTGAGGCTGTGCAGAGTGAATGAGCAACATTCTCTGCCCTCCATCTCTGTCTCCAGTATCCCAGCAGTGCCAGTGCCAGTGGGCCATTGAGTGAGGGGCAAAGAGGAGAAGAAGAGGGAGGGAGGGAGGGCGGGAGAAGGGAGGAAGAGAGGGAAGGAGGGAGGGAGGGGGGGAGGGAGGGAGGAAGGCAAAGAATGGAATTTGGGCTGTGTTGTGTTAAAGGCACCTACAGTTGAAGGTGCACACTGGGCAGATATACCCATGCGTCAGAAATGGAGTGATGCCAGAGGGACGTTTGGGAACAGCCGGAATGAGGACAATATTGGGAATCGGATATGACCTCTCAGGAGAATTGAGGAAGAATGAAGGGAGGACTTGCGGCAATCCCATCAGCAATGTGCAGACAAACCAAATAAACGGCGAGACAGGCGTGCCACACTGGACGTGAGCCCAGGACCTTCGGGCCGGACTGCCTACATTCAAGCCTGGCCTCCAGCACTGCTGGCCGTGTGGCCTTGGGAAGAGCAGTAGCGTCTCAGTATCACTTACCTCTTCTGTAAAGCGAGCTCCACCTCAGAGGGTGGGTGTCATGTTGCTGAAATAAATCAATGTTCATAAAGCATTTTGAATGATGCCGAGCCCTCAGGAAATACAGCCTACTTCTTTGTTATTGTAAAATAGAAAGTGTTATAAATCCATTAGCCCAAACATTGACTTAAATTATGCATTCTATTTTACTTGTCTACTGCACCTATGTTTTGAAAGTTTATCTTATTCTACTCATAATTCTGTTGGATCCTGAATGAAGTAGTATTAAATTCACTACCTATTTCCTGTTAAAAGTAAATCTCAGGAAAGTTAAAATCAATTACTTTCTTCACGGAACAATTACCTTATAAAAACTCAGAGGATATAAAAAAGGCAGGGCATTCTGCCATGTAATCATGTTTCTAGGGTTTAGATTGATTAACAGTTTCCCCCAGGGGCCTGCTTCTCCAGCACTTTCTTTCTTTTACTTATTCTTTCACTTTTCAGGACTAAAATGACAGAAGTGGGTTTTTCCTACATCCCAGTCGTTTCGGGTGTTAGAATGACAGCTGGCCTTTGGCATTGCCCTGGCCCTTGTCCATTCTGTGGGAGTACCCTGCAGATGATCCTTGTGTTCTTCACCCCGGCCCTTGAGCTGGCTCAGGGTTTGCTATGTGATGAATGAGAAAAGCGCAAGAATCTCTGAGTCTTTCTGGCAGAGCATTGGCCCTGCGTGATGAGGGCGGCCAAGTGGGTGGTTGCGAGGCCCAGCATGGCTCACTGAGGTCACTAGTCACCACTGCGGAAGGAGACCTGAGGCAGGATGGCCTGGTGCCTGGGGCTTGCATTCAGTAGATATGCTCTTTCCCCTTTGCTCAGCTCCCAGAGCACCAGCCAGCCCTCCTGCCCCCGCCGCCCCCATCCCAAACCCACAGGGAGGCCTCACATGGAGCCTCAGGAGCTTCTTGTCCAGGTGGAGGCAAGCACCATGCCCTTACCAGTCTGCATGCCCCCTCAGCCTGCTGACCAGGACTGTATCCTGAGACAGTCACGGCGGCGGAGATATGGAGTGGAAGCAGAGACAGGGCTGTTCCTGTGAGACCAAGGGGTCAAGATCGGCTTTAGAAGGTGGTGGAGAGACCATGCAGTGGGGAAGAAGGAAAAAGTAGTGCTCACATAGAACTGGATGCTAAAGCCAGCAAGGCGTTGCTAAACCCAACACGTCTGAGCAATAAGAAGACAAGCTTCATGCAATAAAGTGGCTGTAGGAGAAGCAATAAAGAGCTATATGGAAAGCCCTGGCCTGGTGGCTCAATTGATTGGTGCATCGTCCCAGACACCAAAATGTGGTGGGTTCCATCCCCGGTCACAGAGTGTAACCGTGGCAACAGATCAATGTTTCTCTCTCTTCAACGGTTATTGAAATTGTCAAGAAAGTGATGACATACACATAAATAAAATAATTTAAAATGCGAAAGCTTTAAAAAATATCTTAAGTGCCAGGATTTAGATGAAAATGTCTTTAATAATTGCCTGCATTTAACCTATAATCCCATCTAATAAAGAGGGAATACGCTAATTGACCATCAGGCCCTCACAAATATGGCAGCACCCACAGCCAATAAGGAGGGAATATGCTAATTGACTGCCACACCCTCAAATATGGCAGCACTCATAGCCACAAGATGGCAGTGTCCAGTCCCCTCAGCCCTGCCAGGGCAGCAGGCACACAGCACAGCCAGGCCCACCCCCAGGTGGGTCCACCCACTCTGTGCACCTGCCTCTGGAGTCCCCCAGTCCCCTCTGTTCCCCAGCTGCCCAGGGCTGACCCAAGGCTCAGGTGAGCCTCAGATAGCTATCCAGCCACCCAGGGCCACCCAAGGCTCAGGTAACCAGGATCAGCTGAGGCTTGCGCTGTCAGCAGTGGCAGCAGCAAAGGTGTGATGGTGGCATCACCTTCCCCTGATCACTGGGTCACCTCCTACCCCTCAAAGCTCCCGGACTGAGAAGAGGCAGGCCAGACTGAGGGAGCCCTCCCCCTCCAGTGCATGATGCACTGGATCTCTAGTCTAAAATAAAAGCATAATATGCAAATCAACCAAACAGCTGAATAGACGTCACACTATGACACGCACTGGCTCCAGGACAGCCAAAGCGGGTGCAATGTGATTGATCATCGCCCCACAATCACCCCACAGAGGGAGGCCCAGGCCACCCTCTTCGGGCTATGGATTGTGGGTCTCTGAAGAGCCAGAAAACTGGTGGGTGTGGTGGGGAATGTAGGCAGCGCCAGGCCAAGATGTGCGAGCAGGGGCGGGGTCATGAGGCAGCTGGGCTGCGAGGGCCTGCCCTTGCATGAGTTTCGGGCACCAGGCCTCTAGTTATATGATAAAAAACATATGAAACGAAGTGGCCAGTGCACACCCATCCAACGGCCTCCTTGGTTGCTAGCGAGAGAGCATGGGGAAGGCTGCCTTTCAGCTGGCTGACCTTTTGAAAAGAATACAGAGCTGATGTAGGAAAGAAGCCCTTTCCCTGGTGCAATCCTAGCCTCTGCTGTAATGAGGAAAATAAGGGCCACAATACAGGGGTTTTCTATTTGTTTTTTGGTTTACTAATTTTATTTTACTTATTTTTTTACATTTGCCTTCTTATGTCTCTTTTTCCCCCTTCTGTTCTTCCATCACTATTTATGCTCCCTCTACTCTCTTCCACCTCCCCCTACGCCCTTTCCTCCCCTTTCCCCAGGAGTTCTTTCTCTTTTTTCTATTTTGCTCAATCCCTCCACCCCCAATGTTTTTAAGTGGATTGTTCAAGATGCCGCAACAACTCAGAGGTTCCTTCAGAACTAACTTCCCATTCACGTCTAAAAGCCACAACAAGCACCTGATCCCCAGGGCACCGGGAGCAGGAGGGCCTGGCCTGTGTCCTGGCTCCAGGTGGTGGTGTCACGAGTGGCCAGGTACCATGATGTTTACATCTTTATGCTGGAAGATGTACTGGAAATAAATTATTCAATTACTATGTAATCAAATGCTTTGTAAATTTTACTTCTCCAGCCATCACAGACACCTGTAGGAATGTCTACACACAAATTACTGGGAGTAGGGGAGACAAAAAATAAGTAGACTTAGAGAGAGCAAATCAGAAATGAACTAACAATGTTATCCTGGAACACCACGGTCCCTCCCCTCTACTCCTCATAAAAGCATCTCAGGAAGTCGCTTCAATCACAGTAATCAAAATAATGGTTTGGGAGGCTGGGAAATAGAATGAGCATGTGACAAAAAATAAGTAGACTTAGAGAGAGCAAATCAGAAATGAACTAACAATGTTATCCGTTTCAATGCTACGTCCCATACCGGGTTTCTCTCATGTTTTTAGCCTCCCCATTAATCCAGCTAGAATTTGAATTAGTCCAGATTAGGTGTTAGTGTATTATTTATAGCTTTTACACTGGTGCAAGGTTATGCATTTTCATCTCAACAAGGATAACAATTCAGTTGGGTTTATACAAAAGCATTTTAATTTATGTTAATTAATTTATGTTAAAATAAACTTTTCATATTTTTTTTCACAGACTTGACTCAAAGGAGCCTTTCTTATCTGTTGGGTGAGTATATGTCTAAATATTTTAAATATCAATTCTTTAATCAATTTTTAATTCAAATTACCAATGTTTGCTGAGATGGTGATTCAGTCATTTCAGTCCATATTCAGAGTCCTAACTCATCTCTGGGAGCATCCTTTCTTCAGCGGCATGGCTGCCTCCATCTGATAAAGACTTAGATGAACAGCAGCCTGGGCTGACGGTGACCTCAGAATGAGCTGACGGATGTCTGTGCAAACTCCATCTCCATGAGCACATTGTAGACTGGTCTTCTATGGTCTCATCATGTACACGTATGCTCAGTCTGGTTCTCAGCTTTCCTCTGAACTGCTGAGTCACTGTTCCCTGTCACCCACCGTGGCCGTTTCCCTTCAGTCTTCTCTGCTCAGTGATTCTTCCGCCAATTTCTCCAATCCAATCTCCAAAATCTCTATCTTTTCTCTTTTTTTCTCATTTCACTTTCATTTCTTCACTCCATCACTCGGACTGGCTTTCTGAACTCAGAGCCGGTGGTGTTGTCTGAGTCAAGATACATGGTCCAGTGGAAGGATAGTGTGAGCAAGAACACAGGGCTGGTCTTCAGGCGTTCCGCACTGACTGATCTTGACGAATCTGCCCCGAAATCCTTTGACTCATGTATTAAAGGCCTGTTCATGTATTAGTCACTTTAGGACATTTTAACAGATTAGTCAAAGGTGAGGGCACTTCTTCACGCTCAGCGTATGTCCATGCTGTCACGTCTCAGAATGAGTTGTGGGAGGTGATGTCTCGCTCTGAGGAGGTTGTGTGGCATTTGATGAAGAAACAATCACATCTAGGATCCACATGCTCATGCTCGGTATCCAGAACACGGGTGGGGTTAGGTTCTGAGTGATCACGTCAATTTTATTTTGTGTCTTTGTTTGTGGCCTTTGAACATTCTGTCCCTCCTGGAACACCACGGTCCCTCCCCTCTACTCCTCATAAAAGCATCTCAGGAAGTCGCTTCAATCACAGTAATCAAAATAATGGTTTGGGAGGCTGGGAAATAGAATGAGCATGTGATTTATTGGAGGACTTCATGAAAAATGGAAGGTCGAGTTGATCTGGTCCAAAGAAATCACTAGAACGTGCTTCCTCCTTCATTATCATCAGCTGCTATTGTCAGATGTCTGTGAGCCAGAGGCAGCCTTTCATTTGGAAGGCACGTGTGTCAGGGGATGAAATAGTTTTTCTCCATGCCTCGCTGAGTGCACTTTCCCAGCAGCCTGCCCTGTCCACCCGCCACTCTGAGATGGAAGTCATTTTTATTGCACATCCTCCATATCTCTGTCCTAAACTCATTCGAAGTTTAGAACTCAGTGGTAGAGCCCTGAGAAAACATTTCCACAGAAGAATGATTTATAGATCAACAAATACTCAAAATGGAAAAACAACATAGCAGATAATGATATGACTTAGACATGACTTAAGTATGACTTAAGTATTATTTAAACGTGAATTATGTGTGACTTAGATATGACTTAGGTATAAATTAGGTATGACTTAGAGGTGTCTGAAACATAACTTAGATATGACTTCCCGTATTTTCCAGCGTATAAGAAGACCCCCTAATTTTACAGTTAAAACAGGTTTAGACCCATATTCGCTGTATAAGACTACCCCACCCCACTTCCGAGGCAACACCAGTTCTTTTTTTAATAGACCGCCTCTCTGACTCTGGCCAATATGAGCAGGCTTTCTACTAGAACACAGTGTATCTTCGGTTACAGAACATGTACACTGTGTTCTAGTAAAAAGCCTGCTCAGATTGGCCAGAGTCAGAGAGGCGGTCTATTAAAAAAAGAACTGGTGTTGCCTCGGAAGTGGGGGGTAGTCTTATACAGCGAATATAGGCCTAAACCTATGTTTTAACTGTAAAATTAGGGGGTTGTCTATACGCAGGAAAATACGGTAGTTTTGACTTAGAAGTAAAGTGGGTTGAAGCGTACACCCAGTGGTTCTGCTGACTGAACATTTTATGTTCTAGTGAAACTTCCCGATTCTCCTCCAAGGAAGAGATTTTATTTTATTTTTTAAATATATTTTATTGATTTTGTACAGAGAGGAAGGGAGAGAGATAGAGAGTTAGAAACATCGATGAGAGAGAGTCATCGATCAGCTGCCTCTTGCACACCCCCTACTGGGGATATGCCCGCAACCAAGGTACATGCCCTGGACCGGAATCGAACCCGGGACCCTTCAGTCCCCAAGCCGACGCTCTATCCATTGAGCCAAACCGGTCTCAGCCAAGGAAGTGATTTTAAATACAATTTTCCAAAAGTATGTCTGAATCTCTCCTGACCCTCTTCAGGGAGAGACAGGGTAATGGTGACCACAGGACACACACGAGCCTACCGGGCGCAGGTAATCTGCTGCAAGAAACACATGTTCAGAGATGTGACTTTTACCTCAGCTGCTTGCCAAAGGGAAGAAGAGCATGGTGTGTGGTCCATGATATCGTGGACATGTGACCTGCATACCTCACGGACATTCGCTTTAATTCTATGTTTAATAAAAAGTTGTATTAATGAATTACGCAGTGTTAAATATCGCATACTTCACCACTGCCTGCCCGTGTCTTAAAAAGGTGCCACTGTGTACATTTAGAAACTGCCTCTACCTTCTTCTTCTGACCCTCACAGACAAGTTGTTATTTCAACCCCAAGCCTCAGGTCTTTATTTGTGAAATAGAGTATAAGTAAGGAAATTTGCATCGTGCATTTAGCTCCAGCCTGGCATGGAGGGGCTGTCAGAACGTCAGCTCCCCTGCAGCCCTAGAGGCATGGTCATGTTGTGCAGAGAGTCAGTCAGAGATAAGTGCCTCCTGCAGGCCATGCTTTGAGCTACATGTGGAAATCAAAGAAGTTTTTATAAAGCAGAGAAAAAATAAAACCTGTGAGTGAAATAGGCTATCAAACATGAGCACATATATTCTGTTTCATATTTCAGTGATGAACATTAATAATTGTCATTTAAATTCCAGAAATGAAAAGATATGTTGATGCATTTTGATGCCCATTTCTTCTTAATGTAAATAAGGAAGCAAATTTTCTCCTCAGATAAATGTGCTGCAGAAATTATGAAATAGCATTTTTATATTTTTATATGTTTTTATTAATTTCAGAGAGAGAGGGAGAGGAAGAAAGATAGAAACATCGCTGATAGCTGAGAGAGAAACATCCATCAGCTGCCTCCTGCACACCCCCTACTGGAAATTGAGCCCACAACCCGGGCTTGTGCCCTGACCAGGAATTGACCAGGTTCCCCAGCTGCTCATAGGTCAACGCTCAACTACCAAGCACACTGGCCAGGCATGAAATAGCATTTTTAAATGACACAGCATAAAATTAATCAGAACATACCCATGGAAAATTTTGTCAAAAACAGTTACAACACAAGGAAATATTTGCTTACAGAAAAGCTCAGGGAATTGTGAGAGGAAATTGGTGATCTCAGATCTTCCACTCTAGGCTGATATAAGAACTTGCACATTTACAAGTCAGTGATGAATAAATAATGTTATTAAGAAAATAAAAATCTCCCTAGCTGGTTTGGCTTCATGGATAGAGCATCAGCCTGTGGACTGATGGGTCCCAGGTTTAAATCCAGTTGAAGGCATATACCTCAGTTTCAGGCTCTATCCCTGGCCCCAGTCAGGGCCCAAGCGGGCAGCCAATCAATGTGTCTCTCTCACATGGATGTTTCTCTCCTCCCACCCCTTCCATCCACTCTCTCTAAAAACAAATGGAAAAAAATATCCTCAGGTGAGGATTAACAAAAAAAGAAAGAAAAGTAAACAATAAACATTGGCTAGCACGAAGCCTGAAGGCTCATTTTCCAGGGTGGGTCAATGCTTACGGTGGTTTCTATGGTTACCTGGCAATTCTAGTACCACCAGGCCTCGAGATCCTGTCTGCACCAACCAGCATCCTCCCCATCCTCCCCTTCCTGCCCGCAGGCAGGTCATCCTCCCAGACATTCATGGTCTCAGGATCGCTTCGGACAAACCTTTGGAACCTAACTTCCTCCAGCCCCCCCTACTTTGAGGCACATGGGGCTGGGCTCATTGATCTTGCCACGTCCAGGCTCAGCATGGGAGGCCCGGAGCTAGGGAGACCGGAAGGTGTGCCTCAGAGTCTGTGAGGGCCAAAGCGCAGGGTGCCTGAATGACAAAACTCACTCTGGCATCATCCCAGGCCACAGGTTGGGGTTGCACTAAACTTAAATGTTAAATTATTAAAAATATAATTTAAACACTTAATAAGTGATTTTATTAAGTAACAATGGTTCTTTTTAAAAATTATTATAAATATATCCCATATAAATGCATAATGTATATGTGATATGCATTATGTGTATAATTTATTATACATAATATAAAATACTTTTCAACAAATAAAATAATTTTAATTAGACTTAGAAAGTAAAACGTTTTTCCCCTCTCACTTGAACTGCCTGGAGCTTCAGCGCAGACTCAGGCCTGCGCCCAGAGAATCCTTCACGGCCTATTCCGCCAGCCCTCCTCGACACGCCTGGAAGCAGCCCTGGGACCGCGCCTGGCACGGGCTTCCTCTGAGCGGCACCGGGCAGACTCTGATCTGGAAAGTGCGCTGGGAGAAGAGGGGCATTGGTCTGCACCTGGAAAAGAATAAGGACTGACTGGTCGATCCAGTTAAGATTCTAAAATCAAAGTCTTAGTTTAGGATCAGTTTTGCCTTGAGAAAGGTTCCCCAGCTGCTTAAGGACAGCACAGAGGAGGGAGGGTGTGCGCTCTCTGGCCTCTGAGCGGAGATGTCCAAGTGCAGCTGGGGCCACAGTGAGTCCTTCAGGGACAGGCACTCTCACACTGAGCTGCTCATCCTCAGGCACCAGAGGGAACTGCCAGTGAGTTAGCTCCTCACCTGTCCCAGGAGCTGGCCTTCTAAAGGGAAGGCTGCATATGAACTGGTTGCATTTGGAACTGAAACCCTGGTTCATGCCAT